GGAGAGAGAGAGAGAGAGAGAGAGAGAGAGATTCATATTACTTACGCTTACAGAGAAAAAAAAAGATTTTGATTTATCACTGTTATATCCAAGTTCCTGTAATAACAGAGGCTATTATAAATGGACTGTACTGTACTGTTGAACCTGTGTAAAGACGGAATAGCAAGGGAGCCAGAAAAAAATTCAGTCATAGACAGGGGATTATGGGGGGAGGTGGAGGGGTTTCAAAGGCCCTGCCGGTGGGATCAAGGGTCGCTTGTCCGGTTGGCAAGCAGTGGTCAAAAGTTCACACCTCAACTGCTATCCTCTCTGATAATGACATGCGTCAGTCTTACGTATCCAATTAAATATTATCACCTGTGCTTGCATTTCATTGGACCACTGTTTGACCTATTAAAATCAGAAAAGTTGAACATCTCCTTTGCTTTCACCCGTAACCCCATCCATCGGTGTAACAAGCACGGTCAACCTTTACTACCCTACCATGTAACAACAATGGGAGGTACTCTTTTCTTGGCTGGCTGTACGATCAGGGCGGCAAGCATTGGTCAAACAAATTTCACACCTCTGGCTTCTGGCTGCACAGGAAAGTTTCCCTGGTTGCTCGCTATTCAAGCACCTTCACTGGCGCGCGGGAGATTTCACACCCACACCACCCGGACCATCTGCATCGCTCAGGGCTCGCACGTATTGCCATTATAACATCTACCCCCAAACTACTCCCCTGCTCCCCTTCCTCGCCCGGCAGTTAAGTTTAGAGCTCTTGGAACCAAACTTGCGAGTTTTATTTTAGATCAGGGCTAAGCGGGCAAAGCATTTTCGATCTTAGACGAGTAAAACCCTCGGAAGGGAGCAGTTTTTCTTTCTGTTTTCGCGTTGGATGGGTTTCTGTTTTATCCAGGTAATTATAGAGGAATATATCAAGGGGGGTGCAGGGAGTTTCCTTTAAGACCGGTTTCTGTCTTATACAGGTTCGACTGTATTTAGTATACTCCATCATAATACCATGTGTTTGTTGACAGAATTGAGTTTTTTATATTGATGATGTCAATGATGTATAAAATGCATAAGTTCATTCATAACCCTTGTCAAAATTTCATCATCGGACTTTCCGAGGTCTTGAAAACTTGCTTCGTTAAAAATGCCATCCCCAGGAATGGTCTATTAGATTTAAAACATTGGTTTTTCATTGGTCCACCAAGCAAGTAAGTTTCTTCTCTGCCACATGATGATTTTGTTTAAAAATGACATGGATTGTATTTACATAAAATATCATGTGTACCATCATGTTTGGGTCTTCCTGCTGTTTGTCTGCCTTCTTTTACACTGTTGCCTATACAGTCGAATCTGTGTAAGACGGTTATATATTGTCAAGGTGAAAAATCGCCATGTAAAACCTTTATCTTGATCAGTCCTGCCTAAGACGGGCACCTGTTTAAAATAAGATACAGAAAACAAATCAATCCCTTCTGAGGTTCCAACAGAAAGTAGCTGCATTGTTTTTGTTTTTGTTGTTCTTTTTGTTATTGGTTTGTATTTTTTGTTTTTTAAATTTTGTTGCTGATTTTGCGCATTTCAAACGAAATGTGTCGGATGCGGAAGACCGAATGCCATGTTAATACAAACATATGGGTCGCCACACTTGGAGATCGAGCGATGCTTCGGTCGCAAGTTCATGTTGACGTCCATTGTTACTTTGTTATGGACTGGGTAAACAATGACTACTCATCTACTTGTGATTTGTATGAGTTCTAGGCGGAGTGTTTGGGTTATGAGGGATCACCCGCTTACCTTACCAGCAGCTGGAGATTTGTTACCTATTGGTCAACAGTGGGAAGGCTCAACGCAACCTGATAGGTGGAGGGACTACCTAATAACAACGACAGGTGATTGGTTATGATGGCTCGCCGACAACGCCAGTGGCCAATGCATAAATTATGACAAAACGTAATGGGAGTCACTAAGGTGGCCGCCTAAGACAGGTGTTACTGTTTGGTCAGTGGTGTGATATGGGTTGTGTGTTAAAATAAGGTGGCCGCATTGGACAGGTGGTCGTTTTACACAGTGAAATTATATGGAAAAAACGCAAGGGGGGAAATGGAAAGTGGCCGTCATGGCAGGTTCGACTCTATAAATGAAGAACTGCTTGCTGATGACCTGGAAAAGAGGCAATGAAGAGGCAAAACTTTGCTCGTCGTAATGTGTGTTTTTTAACAATTGGCAACATATTATGAGACAAATCGTGTACTATTTAAACAGTTCCAAGGCAATGGTCAGAGGTATTATTTCCTTTTTTTTTTTTGGTCTTAACTTGACACTTTTCGTCAAGCTTTTATTTTACGTAACATTTTTATATGTTTTTCGAAAAATCCTGTCCTTGACACGCCAGTAAAGAAAACTTATCCATTTTAATATTACGAATTCTAAACCTAGATTACTATTTCTTTGTAATATGTTGATTACTAAAACATTTGGTGGTGGGTTGGCAGCCTTGTACTAGTCAAATGTGATGCGATTGAGAAGAAGACACCCTCTGCTCACAGAGCTCTTGTAGTTGCCCAGTACCTTTGCCTTTAGAAAAACATTAGTTGTGCAAAAGCCAGGAGAAAGGCAATTAGTTGTGGCGCACGGCATGGTTTGTAGTGATGGGCAATCATGAGCAAAGGGTTAGGACCTGTCGTATTGGTTTCTTTTGTTTTTGCAAGAGTATAATTCTAGCATCTGCGTTTTGTTGCCAATTTTTTTTCCAAAAGTTGCCACAAAAATGGCAAAAGTTGCCATAAAAGTTGCCATTAATTTTCAAGCTTTCAACTCTGTGACGACGTATACTATACTGTATAGCAATATGTTGTTATAGGTAACTTAATCTAAGGCACACAATTTCTTGTACAGAATCCAGAATATCATTTGTAGCCACACAGAGTGTAAAAACGTTAAAAATAAAGGTTTCACAACAGAGTCAAATCAAAATTAGAACAGCACATAGTATTAGGTACCGCAGGCGAGCCGTTTTCAAGGCAGACAGCT